CTTTTTCTGGAGACCTAGAAAGAATAAAATGAGATGCTATAAAGATATCTTCCTTTGTACTTTTTCAAAAGGCTCAAAAATGAATGGTACATTCTTTGTCTGCTACGAACTGAATTGAAGTCCCCCCCCCCCCTCCAATACACTTTTTTTATTCTGGCACTACATGTAGACTTCAGCAAATTGGAGAATTTCCGCTTTAATAATATCTTCTATCTAAACGATAGTCTAATACTAGGTCTGATGCTCTTTAACATTTTAAGTTACATTGCTCTTCCCAGAGTACAACATAAAGAAAAAACTGGAAAGCAGTTTTATGGATACAGAAGTCAGCCCTAGTAAGGCCATCAGGGTGTCAACTCCAAATGAATATGCATAGGTTTTCAGCCATTGACCATAGAATTCAACAAACAAAACCACCAGTCTCCTATTTCACCTACCAGGAAGATCTTGGATCATATTATTAGTAAATATGAATGTACAATTAGTAGAAAAAGATGAAAAATGTAACAGATGAAATTCAAATCAGAGCAACAGGAGGAACAAAATGTGCTATGCCTACCACTTCCTGGTTTTGTTTTTTGTTTATTGGCAACAGATGAGCTAAAGGACAGGTAATCTACTTCTCATAGTCATCAAAATACTAATGCAGGGGTCTTCAAACTTGGCAACTTTAAGACTTGTGGACTTCAACTCCCAGAATTCGTCAGCCATCCAGGTTCTACATTTAGGCAAGAAAAACCAAATGTACAGGTGTAGTATAGGGGGTACCTTGCTCAATAGTAGTAACTGTGAGAGTCCTAGTGGACAATCACTTAAATAGGAGCCAGCCGTGTGCTGCAGCTGCCCAAAAAGCCAACACAGTGCTAGACTGCATTAACAGAGGGATAGAATCAAGATCACGTGGAGTATTAATACCACTTTATAATGCCTTGGTACAACCACACTTGGAATATTGCATCCAGTTTTGGTCACCACGATGTAAAAAAGATGTTGAGACTCTAGAAAGAGTACAGAGAAGAGCAACAAAGATGATTAGGGGACTGGAGGCTAAAACATATAAGGAACGGTTGCTGGAATTGGCTATGTCTGGTTTAATGAAGAGAAGGACGATGGGGGACATGATAGCAATGTTCCAATATCTCAGGGGCTGCCATAAAGAAGACGGAGTCAAGCTGTTCTCCAAAGCACCTGAAGGCAGGACAAGAAGCAACGGATGGAAACTAACCAAGGAGAGAAGCAACCTAGAACTAAGAAGAAACTTCCTGACAGTCAGAACAATTAACCAGTGGAACGGCCTGCCTCCAGAAGCGGTGAATGCTCCAACACTGGAAGTTTTTAAGAAGAGACTGGACAGCCATTTGTCCGAAATGGTATAAGGTTTCCTGCCTGAGCAGGGGGTTGGACTAGATGACCTCCAAGGTCCCTTCCAACTTTATGATAATGATGATGATGTCCTAACTCTTTAGAGAAGTCTATAATGCTGCAAAAGGTAGAAGAAAATAGAAAAGAGCATCCATGGATGGACACTATTACAGCATCCTCCTAGAGCAGTGATGGCGAACCTTTTAGAGACCGAGTGCCCAAACTGCAACCCAAAACCCACTTGCTGGGTGGGTGTGGCCCATTGGGTGGGCGTGGCTGCGGTGGTAACAGCAGACTGCGTGGGACTAAAAAGTTCAATCAATCAATTCCAACTTTGCAAGATTTCCCCCCCCCGCCCGCTAGAAGTTGAAATTGACTGATTGATTGAACCTTTTTTTTTTTTTGTACATGGTAGTGGAGGTTTTATAAAGTGAAAAGGTTTTATAAAACCCAGCTGAAGGCCTAGGACTGGAGCGACGGTGCGTGTGCCCACAGAGAGGGCTCTGAGTGCCACCTCTGGCACCCCTGCCATAGGTTCGCCAGCACTGTCCTAGAGAAATAAATCTACCTAACAATAAACACCACCTTGATGGCCCCTGATCCATCAATTAATCATTTCTGAGCTGAAAAGCCCTTCTCTTACATTATCCCAGAGATCTAGCTGTGGGCCACACAGTTTCGAAAGAAAACTACCGTACTTTGAATATGTACAATAGAACCATGTTGTTCTCCTCAGCTGGGAAGTTGAAAGGAAAGCTGCTGCTGACGTCTGAAGGGAAGGGAGACCACTGAGAAATCCCATGGCTAAAACCCAAGTTGAGAAGATTTGTTTTTTGTTTTTGTCTGTTTGCACGTAGCTATCACGCTGTCACAGGAGTCAAGCTGACTTGAACAAAGCTTTGTCTTCTCAGAATCAGAAAAGCATACTCTTCAAGGTTACTCCATAATGGAGCCACAAAGATGCAATCATGCATAGATGGAGTACACACATACTGCCGAGTTCATGCCCCTATTAGGCATCCACTGGTAATTCTTGCTAGTGAAAGAAGTGGCATTGAGTGGTACTGAGGCATTCAAAATGATGGTTACAAAGGCCAAGGTGTGCAAACACTCCAACTTATCTCCCCTTGTTTGAGGCAGCCTGAATACAGAGATGGACTAAGGTGGCTGGGTTGAAGGTCAACCCATCAGCTCTCGCCTTGATGTAAAAGAAAGCTGATGGTTCTCTATCCAACTGGAGACAATGCATGGTTAGTTGAAGCTCAGACACCACCGTTTTTTCGAATGGCTACCCTTGTGGCTACATCTACACTGTCTCCCAGTGTAGAGAAACCCTACCCCTTAAAAATAAGAAGTTTAAATTCAAATAGTGCTAAGCTGCTCATGAAAGTGAAGAGGAACTAAAGAGCCTCTTGATGCGGGTGAAGAAGGAGAGTGCAAAAGTTGGCCTGAAACTCAACATTAAGAAATCCAAAATCATGGTATCCGGCCCTCTCAATTCCTGGCAAATAGATGGGGAAGAAATGGAGGCAGTGACAGATTTTATTTTTCTGGGCTCAAAGATCACCTCAGATGGGGACTGCAGCCAAGAAATTAAAAGACGCTTGCTCCTGGGGAGGAAAGCTATGGCAAATCTAGACAGCATACTAAAAAGCAGAGACATCAACCTGCCAACAAACGTGCGTATAGTCCAGGCCATGGTTTTCCCAGTTGCAATGTATGGCTGTGAAAGTTGGACCATAAGAAAGGCTGAGCGCCAAAGAAATGAGGCCTTTGAACTATGGTGCTGGAGAAGACTCCTGCGAGTCCCTTGGACTGCAAGGTGATCAAACCGGTCAGTCCTAGAGGAGATCAACCCTGACTGCTCTTTAGAAGGCCAGATCCTGAAGTTGAAACTCAAATACTTTGGCCACCTAATGAGAAGGAAGGACTCACTGGAGAAGAGCCTAATGCTGGGAAAGATTGAGGGCAATAGGATGGAGAATGAGGTGGCTGGAGGGAGTCACTGAAGCAGGAGGTGTGAGCTTAAAGAGACTCCAGAAGATGGTAGACGACAGGAAGGCCTGGAGGAACATTGTCCATGGGGTTGCAATGGGTCGGACACAACTTCGCAATTAACAACAACAACAACAAAGCTGCTCATTCTTGGTGAGAAGTTAAGAAAATCCCTGGACCTTTGGGAGAACTTCCGAGGGAGGTGTCAGTGTCTTCTAATAGGAATCTTAGCCAGACTTTTGAAAAATAATAGTTCAGTGCTGATGTGAATGGTTTTGGTGACTTGATTTGAGATGGAGAGAGAGAGAGAGAGAGAGAGAGGGAGGGAGGGAGGGAGGGAGGGAGAGAGAGAGAGAGAGGGAGGGGAGATTTGAATAGGTTTGGCTCCAAGAAGGAGGGAGGGAGAGAAAGAAGGGGGGGGAACTCACTTATTTGTCTCAAACTGGGAACTCCAACGTGCCCAAAGAGAGAAGCTAGGCCAGGCTAGTGTGGTTCTTTGTGTTACCATGGGAACTGAATGCAGATATCACCCAATTGCTTTTTTATTTGCTAGACATTGTAATATATATTATGTCTCAACTTGGGGGGGGGTTGAAGTGAGGGAAAGAAGAAGACTTTGTGAACATTAACCATTGAGGCAACTCGGAGAAGGGAGCTATATGGGGCAGGGAGGGGGGGGAGAAAGAGAGAGAGAGAGAGAGAGAGAGAGAGAGAGAGAGAGGAAGCAAAGTCTCCCCCATTCAAACAGGTAGTTTGTATGCAGGCAGAGTCTCTCAGTCTGAAGGCCTGGCTCCGAAATCCCCCGGCTGCTTTCTATTCAAAAATCCCCCCTTCATTTCTGCTTCACTTCACTCTGTGTGGAGACCCCCTAGCTGTACACAAAGCTGGCAAATAAAGTCCATGAAAAGTGATCAAATTATCAAGAACTTGACCTCACAGAGGGGCAGAATTTAGAGGGGGGGGGAGAAGAAGGAGAGCCTTGTAACCAAAGGAAGAAAACTAGGAAGAGGGGTGGTGTAAAAAAAGCCTGGCGGGAGGGGAGGGGGAGTGGCGGAGAGCAATTCCATCAACTGGTAGAGGCCGGGTGTCTAGATTAATCTGCAAAGGGGCCTTGTTGAAGAGAGTTCGTTTTTTTCGGTCTACAACCTAATCCCTCGACAACTCCCACCCGATTGTGGCTGTTCTCCGATCTCTCTTCCCCCCCTCCACTCCTTAAGTTTTATGAAGTGGTTTTTTTACTTTTTGAACTTCAGGTTCCAAGCCAGTTTTATCAGAAGCACCTTTTGATCAAGGGGTTTGATTTGGCTTTTTTTTCTTTTTCCTTCTTCTTCATAGCTGTGCTGTGGCTATAAGAAGCCATTCTTTTAAATGCATTTGGCAGTACCTCCTCCTCCTCCTCCTCCTCCTCCTCCTCCTCCCTGCCACCCCCCCCCTCAGCAGGTGCCTGCTGGTCTGTCCTTCCCCACCCTCCCTTTTCAAAGTCACCCCGATTCCTAAAGGTTCATCCCCTTTGATGTAATTGCACCGTAAAGAACCAAGACATCAAGGCAAAAATCTCTTGGAGAAAAAAAACTACATAAACATCAGCCAAAGAATGAACAAGTTAGGAGAACAGGTACAACTACTGACATATAAAAGGATACCTGTATTGAAGAAAGGCTAGGCGAACTCCTTGACCATCAAGTTTTAAAGACCTGGTTGATCAAAAGAAAAAAAAAAGGAAAGAAAAAGAAGAAAAAAGAAAGAACGCTTGGTCTGCTTTGGCTGCCACCGTGCTCCTTCATTCCTCCAGTTGTGTCCACAGGCCACGGTGTCTTCCTTCTCTCTCTTTCTTTCTTTCTTTCTTTCTTTCTTTCTTTCTTTCTTTCTTTCTTTCTTTCTTTCTTTCTTTCTTCCATCTCTCAGTTCCCAGAAGTCCTTGGAAGTCATTTCTACTTTCGGTTATCTAGCTTTATGATGGCTTGATAACACTCATACAGCTAGATAACCAAAGAGAGAAACGGCCCTCCTGCGTGAGGCTTTTCTTTCTTTCTTTCTTTCTTTCTTTCTTTCTTTCTTTCTTTCTTTCTTTCTTTCTTTTTCTTTCTTTCTTTCTTTCTTTCCTTTCTTCTTTCTTTCTTTCTTTTCTTTCTCTTTCCGATGGGGCTGGGCATCAGGCTGAACGGGCGGTGGCAGAGCACGGAACGCTTCTGGATCTTCGAGCTGCCATCGGGGAAAAATAAAGGAGAAAATAACCATATGGATACATGCAAATACATAAAGGGGTGTTTTTGAGGCGGAGGGCGCGAAGAGGGAGAGACGCAGAGAGAGCGAGAGGGATGCAGCCCGCTCCTTCAGCAGGTCGACCGCAAGATCTGACCTGATCTGCAGGTTTGAAGCTGGGGGGGGGGGAGGAAAACCCCCACCCATCCGGGGCGCTGCCTTCCCCTGTCTGAGCCGTTCCGTCGCGCGCACCGGCCGCCGCTTTGCATTCGGCCCACCCGGCCCGAGATGCTTTTCTAATGTGAATCCCCCCTCGTTGGGAAATGACGTCAGCCCGGCTTGCACCAATGGCTGGCCTGGCATTCAAATCATCGCTGCTTCGCGCCCCTTTGAATCCTTCCCTCTCCCCCCCCCCAAAAAAAAATCCACTTTCCTTTGCTTTAAAGGCGTTTCTTTGAAACCTGGCAGAGAAAGCCGCCCGTGGTCCTTCTGCCTTGCCCGCCGCCCTTCTTCTTCCCTCCCTCCCTGCGCTTCAATTAACGTAGAAATGGTTCCTGCTCACAGCTATGGCAGGTCTTTCAATGCAATACCACTTTACAAGGCCTTGGTAAGGCCACCCTTGGACTACTGCATCCAGTTTTGGTCAGCACGCTGTAAAAAAGATGCTGAGACTCTAGAAAGGGTGCAGAGAAGAGCAACAAAGATGATCAGGGGACTGGAGGCTAAAACATACAAGGAGCAGTGGCTGGAATTGGCTATGTCCAGTTTAACGAAGAGAAGGACGAGGGGGGACAGAAAAGCAGTCTTCCAATATCTCAGGGGCTGCCCCAAAGAAGAGGGAGTCAAGCTATTCTCCAAAGCGCCTGAAGGCAGGACAAGAAGCAACGGGTGGAAACTGATGAAGGAGAGAAGCAACCTAGAACTAAGGAGAAACTTCCTGACAGTGAGAACAATTAATCAGTGGAACAGCCTGCCTCCAGAAGTGGTGAATGCTCCAACACTGGAAGTTTTTAAGAAGAGACTGGACAACCATTTGTCCGAAATGGTATAGGGTTTCCTGCCTGAGCAGAGGGTTGGACTCGATGACCTCCAAGGTCCCTTCCAACATCATTATTATTATTATTATTATTATTATTATTATTATTATTATTATTATTATTATTATTAACTCCATGGAGGGGGCTCCGGTTGGCTTCGCAGATGGCCCCCCTCCTCCCCCCACCCCCGAATCTGGAGACTTAAGTTGAACCCACGAGCCGGGTGCGTGCGCTAGTCTGGACGGGATTCATAGCCACCGCGCTGAGCACGTGTGGATGCAACAACGGTTCGCTCCTTGATCTGCTTAGGCGTTTGGAGGTGAAGGCGACCTTCCTTTCATTACACCCGTGGCACGAATCCTACTACCGGCCAGAGAGGGGGGAAAAATGTGACGGCCCTTGCTTTGAGGTTTTCACTTAAAACCATCCAAGATTGGTTTTAAACACTGTGAGTTAAGGTGCGCAAGGATGGGCTGGTGCTGGGTTAGCTAATTCAGGATCCCGCCACCGTTATTACTGCTGCCAGCACCCGCGTTGGGAGGATCCCCAAGTTTGTGGTCATTTCCGGGCATCTTTGCCAGCTTTTGACGGGACCCTTCCTGGCAGGCTGAGATCTTCTAAATCTTATGGAAGGGTGGCCTACAGGAGATCATCAAAGCAGGGGTGAAAAGCAGGGTGACCGAATCAGAACCACCCAGCCCTGCTTTACTCCTCTCTTACTGTTTGGCTTGTCTCCAGCCCCACCGGAATGCTTCCAAGGCCCTCCAACTCAAGGGGGAAAATTTCAATTCGGGTGCTCAGACGATTGAGCTCAATGGGGTTAACATCCATTCCAAGAGGCATCTCCATGAACGGATTTACTCCCAGATTCTTGCTCTGAATTTTAAGGAGCGGGACCTCAAATCCTATTTCTAGAATCAAAGTTAGGGTTTCTAGCACCCAATGTGAATAAAGACAAGATAATGTTTAGCCAAGGCTTAGAAATCACCGCAGAACAGAGTTTAGCCTTTAACCTGGTAAATTAGCCTTTTCTCTCAAATTATGAACAAAAGATTTAGTTTGGTTTCACACTATGTACTACAAACAAATAACAAACGGAGGTTAACTTTAACTAAGCCTAAAGTGGATGGGTGGGTGAATGCATTTGTTACGATTTTAAATGACCCTCTCTCATTTTCCCAAATACATTTATCTTCATTTCTAAAATGTTTAAAATGGAAGGGAGGATACAATAAACCTCAAAATATTTTTTTTCTCAGTCCTGAAACAAAAAAAATCTCTATATTCTCTCCTTCCCTCTCCCCCACCCCTCCCCGCCCCAGTCATATTTTACGCACAACCAAGTGCATAAATTTTATTCCACTATCCCAACAAGGTGTTGAGAAAAGACCAATTCACAAACCGGCAAACACCACCCAGAATGGGAAAAGAGGGGAATGAGATGTTTTTAAAAACGATGCTTGGGGTCTTTTCCATCATGGAATTTCTGCCACCAGGCCTTATCCAGCTTCAAACAGTTTAATGAGCTTACTTTGGGCCAGATATATTTAAGAATATTGGGCTAATTCAGACTCTCTAACTGTAATCTCTGCTTTGCTGTCACCCAACCTTTCTCAACATGAAAGACTCTTTCTCAGAATTGGAAGGCTGAAAGTCAGGATTGTGGTCAGAAATGAATGAAGAACTACAGAAGTCAGTTTAAGAGTCAATTCAGTCTGGAAGTCAAGGTGCTGGTCTACTGGAGATGTAATCCTATTTTAGGCACAAACTGAGCAACTGTGGGCCAATCCCTCTCACTCAGCCCCAGGAGGAAGGAAACAACAAACACCTCTCAAAAATGCCACCTAAAGAGTTGTGTGGACTTGTCCAAACAATCATCAAGAGTTGAGACAAAATGGGAAGCCCCAAAAAATAAATTTAATTTAATTTAATTTAAAAAAAAAAACCCAAACAGTGTGACTTGGATGAGATCTCAGTCTGCCAACTTCAAGTCCTGTCTTTTTCTGATATCCTCCACACTCCGGAGTTGCCAACTTTAGGAAATCTGATGTTAAGTGCTTTTGCATTGAATGTGTTATTAAGGGCCCAATGTCTATTAATAACATCATCATTAAATCAAATCAAATCCAAAAGTGAAAAAAAAAGTCCACAATCTTTTTTTTACTCAAAACGTTCTAAATTCTCGCTGGATTCCTATTGGCTTACTCTGATTATGATTTGTATTTATGTGTGTTACTCTTTTTTTATTGTTTTTAAACCTTTTCCGGAGAAGTTACTACTTTCAGCACCACAGCCTGTGCCTTTTCAGGCGTCCCCATGTTTTCCAAAGCAACTTCACAAAAATTCTGTGTAAACCTTATTCTCTCTGGGCACCTACACAGCACCTGAACACAGGAAAAAAAAAATCTAATAATGGGATTGTTCCCCTCCAAAACATGAAATCTGGATTACACTTATTCTATCAAATAATATGTGTTTTAACCCACCCAACCCTTATGCCTAGCTATTTGTTAGTCTGGAAGTAAATCCTTTCGGTTTCCCAATCTTTGTCTTTGGAAATTGACAGGACTGGAATGGCATTTTTTTATTTCCACACCCCCAGGCAAAACACACACACACACACAAACCATAACTAACCTTCAGGTCCAATCACCAGAATTCCACATTCAATAGGTGAGGATCTTAAAAAGGGAAAAAAAACTGACCACCTGCCTGGGGCCAATCCATGAGCTATTTCGGCTGATTTAAACCGAGTTCATTTCTCTAAAGTTTAATTTCTCTAATTTCTCTATCAAGATAGCTGGATGTAGCAGGCTTAGCCTTTCCTGGCTGGGTTGTCTCTGGGTGAAAACTCGCTTGTTTTCTGATCTCAGGGCTTTTTCCCTCTCTGAACGGGGCTGCAGTTTAGGTTTAGCTCCTCCCTCTCCCCTCCCTCTCCTCCTCTTCCACCCTCCCCTCCCCTCCCCTCCCCGTTCCGCTTTGCTTCAGAGCGAACCCAGAAACCCCCCCCCCCTTTTTTTTAAGTGCAACGCTCAGCACGGAATAAAAGAAGAATTTCGCGAGCGCTTTGGAACAGTAGCGCATCTGTCCCAAAGGCCGTTTTGCTGAATTATGGGCCCGTTTCCCCACAATGGGGTTGGATGGGACGCAAAATCTGCGACTCGGGTTAGGAGGGTGGAGGAGAGCAACTATTAATAAATGGGCTACTTTGGGGTAGAGAATCAAACCGCGTCTTTTTCTCATCCTCTGCTCCACCTTTGCGCCTCTTTCTACCGCCCCCGACCGTATGTTCAAAGGCCGATTGGAAAACCTGGCCTAAATTAAATTTCCCGAGGCCCACAAGAATAATCCTGGGATAATATGAAGAGATTTATTTTCTCGGTCAAAATGCAGGGCTAGAGAACAGGAAGCCAGAATAACTCGGAAGGCAAAGCCAATTTCTCCCCCCTCCCCAAATAGGAAGACTCAGTTTAAAAAAAAATGCGTTTGGATTAAACACTTTTGTCCTTTCCCCGCCCGCGTTTTTTAATTTTAATTTTTATTTTTATTTTGCTTGAAACTTAAGCTGAAACTCAAAACTCAAGCTCCAGCACTATTTGAGAAATTGTTCCTGGCTGTTAAAAAAATGTTGCTAGAAGCAAATATCACCCAAGGTTCCTTCCTTCCTTCCTTCCTTCCTTCCTTCCTTCCTTCCTTCCTTCCTTCCTTCCTTCCTTCCTTCCTTTTTTCTTTCCTCTTTTTTCTCTTTCTTTTTTTCTTTCCTCTTTTTTCTCTTTTTCTTTTCTCTTTCTCACTTTTTGTTTATTTTATCTTTTCTCTTTTCTCTCTCTTTTTTCTTTCTTCCTTTCTCTTTCTTTTTCCCCCTCTTTTTTCTCTTTCTTTCTTTTTTCTTTCCTCTTTTTTCTTTTTCTCGCTTTTTTCTTTTATCTTTTCTCTCTTCTCTCTCTCTTTCTTTCTCTCTCT